TTCCAGAATAACTACTTGTAACTAACTTGTTTAATATTTTTTGCTTAAATTAATTAAGGCATTAATAATAACCCTCACAACAACAACAACAATAATAACAATAGCAATAATAATAATAAAGAATATGTCTGGAGGTTTGTTTGGTTGGGACAGTCTCATGTGTTTTATATGGAATAAAAAACTTGACATTAAAAACGCGTCCTGTTTCCTCTGTCCTTTCGACTTATTTTTTGATATTATTTTGTAGCATTTTTATAAGTTTTAAGTTTGCTAAATTCCACAGAAAATGGGTTTGTATCTGTTTGTTTGTATTTATAATTCGGTTGTCACAATTTTGGAAGACTGAATTAGAGGTGAAATGTTTCGGAGAGACCTTAACCAAGTCCATTTGGCCTAATCGTCACTGCTTTATTCTCTATAAAGATTGGTGCTTTGGAGTGAAAGTACCTAATGATTGCCCAAACACCCAATCAGTGACCTGTGTAGTTTTATTTGAGGCTCATTATTTTCCTTTTTTTTCCTGCATAAAAAAACCCTCAAATTATCTATAAAAACGTGGTTGTAGAATTCTTCCCACTTCATCTGGGTCTGATTAATGTTTTTACAGCATGGAATTAAATGTGCTGGAGACATGACCCGTACATGTATGGGCCCCAGAGGAGGAGAGCTGTAAGTCCTTAGGAAGGAGGTGGGCCAGGAGGTGGTGGGGTGGGTGGGTCTCTTTGTTTTCTGTTAAAGGACACACACTTCTTAACTGCTTCCATGTGGCCCCAGTCTGTGTAGATCTGAGGAGTGAGGTGGCAACAGATAATAATGAAAATAAAACGCATGGCAGTTAAAGCAAATATACCAGCTGTGCTGTTTGAAGCCACTCGTCGTCACTCAGCCGTGTGTGGAGGCGTGTAAGAGCCAGAGTGGGACGGAGGGGAGCGCGATAAACTCCCAGTTTCACTTCATGGATATGTTTGCATGAGCTCCTGACGGATGAGCAGCACTTGTGTTTGAGTTTCCCCTATCTGTGCCTACCAAGACCACAGTAGCAGGTGTCTAATGTGACCATTCTGGTTATTCAACACATGAGGGGGGGGGGGGGGGGCAGCTCTTTTAAATGGAATCTTTAATTTCACAGGCCTCTTGAAATCCCGCCACAGTTGTGATTGTGTAACAGAAAAGAGAAATCAAGGCGTTTGAAAGCACATTAAGCAGAAAGCAATTAACCAACACACAGTAGTTAATTTCTGTATTAATACTTCAACAGCTGGTGCAGATTGCTTCCTCGTTTTTATCTCCGCTCCAGCTGTTCTTCCGCCGACAAGAACATTAAAGAGGATTTGTCCGTAATAAAGTGGCTCCATATATAGACACCTCACTGAGTACGAAGCCCACGGGGAGGGGGGGATTTACATATGGGAAGAAAAAAAAAGTTGTGAAAACTGACATCTTTTCAATACCCTGCTGGTCTTCCTTTCAACAAGCAGCTCCGATGGAAAACTATTTCAAAGCTGCTCTTTGAAAGGCTGGTGTTGGTGTACATTTGAAATTCCTTTATTGACATCCTCTACAGATGTGCTGCTCGGAGGAACATTTGTTATATTGTGAATCAGCCACTAAACCCAAAGCCCAGGAACATTTGATTAATGCTCGTGCATATGGTCTGCTAGCTGGAGCTGCACATCTGCATGTGAATATATCTGCCATAGTCCTAAAAAGAGAAAAGAAAAAAGCCAGCAGACATAAGGAAAACATTAAAGGACTTTTTGTTTGTTTCTCTGGGCAACAGCCTTCCATATTTGAAGGGTAATGTGGCTTCTATTTCTGTCTTGGAAAACCAAATGTTTTGTGTTTGTGAATCAGCTGGGGTGAGCAGGGTCTGCCCATGGGTCTAAGCTGACTGTCAAAACGAACATACCAGGAACAAGTAGAGACAAGCTGCCACTAGTGCCACATCCGTCCTGTCTTAAACCAGCAGAAACCACAGAACATGTACTTATGCACACAGGCAGCTGCCACACTGTGCCACATGTCTGCTTGATTAAGTGACTGCTCGCTACAGCTGAATGACAATGGTCTCAGAGAGAACTCTCTTCCTCACTCCTCTCCCTGACTCTCCGCTCCTTTCTGCCTTTCCTTTAACCTCCTTGGTTCCTCCCCCTCTCCTCCTTTCTCCAGTCCTATCTTTTCCTCCTCTCATTGCCTTTCTCCTCTCCTTGATTCCTCTCATTCCATCTCCTCTATTCTCAATTCCTCTTCTCCTTGCCCCTCTTGTCTTACAACACACCTGTCAATTTTGAAGACTATAAATACAATGGCTAGCCAGCAACCCCCAAAATAGTCAGTCCTGATAAACAATTGGTGAGAGGTCATTCAACCAAACAGTAATTTTTTTATAGTGTACTATACAGTAGTTTTTTATTAACAAAGTTCAACCTTAATATTATTGGTGTATTTTTAGAAAATATACTGTGTTGTCAGAGTGATATAAATTGAGGTTTTTGTTTTCTTTTGTTTCTCTAAATTTCCATGGTCAGCAGATCACGTGATTGCAGCCATGGAGCTTGCATCTTGCGTGACTTCTAAACATGAAATTATCCTTATTTATTTCCCACATTCAAGGAAGTTATGGACTACATTGAACTATATGATGTTAAGATGATTGTCCTGGAACAGACGCCCAGGGCCGGGGTCACAGTGATACCAAGACATTTACTGGCAGGTACCCAGTCCAGTCCTACTAAGAAAGTAAAACCGAAGGAACAGGGCTCCTTACTAGACAATCTTTCAAAGCAGACTTCAAACTCCTCTCAAAGACAAAGCGAAGCTGCCTTTGGAAAAAGTAGAAAGTGTGTCTGTGTCTGTTTGCTTTAGATGTTGTATTCACTCCTACTTTTGACTACTACACTTGACTTTGAAAAGCAGAAAAAAAACATCTAACTTTACCAGGAAGGACAGTAAGGCAGAATAGAGTACGGCACTGGCAAATTGAGCAGAGTATAGTAGAGTTTATTAGAGTAGAAAAGCAAGGAGCAGAGGACTTGTCCAAAAATTACAGTATGATTAAGTCTTGAGCTACTTAGCCTAAGAAGTATTTGTCTTCTGGCTTCTTTTCTAAAGAGAGTCTTAACTGAGATTTGGTTCTTGGTGTGTGGAGATTTATGACAATAATCATAACAATATTGCAGGAAAACTGTCTTTATAGAACTTGGATCATTTACTCGACTCAGAGAATAATTTACACTGATGAGTCTACTGCTGTTGTTGATATTCGTCATTTTTCAACACATACCCGACACAGTCATATTTGTTTTGTTGCTTAGATACGTGGTGTTAATAGGAGTGATGCACGGGCAGGAAAAGTGCACTGCTGCAACTTTTTTTTTTTTTTTTGCAGCAAAGAATTAGTGGCAAACATTATGAGTGCAAGTCATTAAAAAATAAATGAGGCCTAATTTATGGCTTTGGTCTGTTTGTCATTTGGCTTGGCTACTGCTTTGTAGCACAAGCATGTGTGGAATAATTACGGGCACAGTGTGATGGGTTTTATAATAGGGTAGGAGGATGATGAGGACTGTAAGAAAGGAGGATGAGGAGGAGAAGGAGAAGGAGGAGGTGACTGCGGCCTTCTTAGGCAGCACGTCCAGATGTGCAGTCAGGCCCCACAAACACTGTTCCTGCTTTAAACCTAGTGGGAGAGGAGCGTGGTCTGTGAAGATGATGCGCCAAGTCACGTGTGTGTGTGAGTGAGAGATAGTACCAACGTCATGACCAGATACTTCATCTTAGTGCTGTATGTGTGCTTTTCAGAGAATGTGTTGGCTGGACTTTATTTTTGTGGTTCAAAGTTTTACTGCAAGCGCCACAGACAGATGGGCTTTCTGTAAAACACATGGAAGGGACAGCTAGATTTATGAGTGTCAGGTAACCTGGTTTCACCCTGCTAGTTCTGACACACAATTAAACCACATTCTTTCAGTCAGGAACACACACCACGCCGCAGCACACACTGACCTCATATCCCTCCGGTGACCCACCTCTCACCTCCGTGTTCAGATGTTATTGCTGTGCCTCTCGCCTCAGATCATCTGCTGAGCTGATTTTTCTGGTAACAGTTTCTGAAGCAGCTGAATGCTGCGTGGCCCTCAGAGTGGCCCTGTACTGTCTGCCTCCATCCAGGGGCCGCAGCAGGACCCCAGAGAAAACAAGCATCACTTCCTCCAGTGTGTGACTTCTCTTCCTTCCTGGGAGAATGTTGCCAAGACTGATGAAGAACATTGGGTTCAATTGCAGCCCTACAGAGTCGGCTGCTTAACTCAGCAAGACCTGAAGAAAAGAACAGTGATGATGACTAAGGTTACATTTACTTCCTACTACTTTTGTAAAGAAAATAAACCAGAGTTTGTGAAGTGAGAGTCTTAAGACCCTCATTGTTCAATATCACAATAATCATTTATCGTCACCCTCCAATAATGCTATGCTATGATTGTAATGCAGGACTGACAGAAGGAAATCTGAGATGAACTTTAATAGTTCATTTGTTTTCTACTGCATTGGTCTGTTAAGACACACAGGGAGAACCACAGTCAGTCTGAGCTGTCCTCTAGGACATAGTTAACGTACACTGATTATGTGTATGTTTGATCTGATGGACAATTCACATGACACTTTATTGACCTTCCTGGTTAAGAAGAGGTTTTGTCTAAAGTAGCTGAGCATACAGACAAAATGAAGTAAAAAAACCCCAGAAAATTATTTTTATTTTATTTTATGAGACTCAGGAAGCAGGCAGAACCAAAGTCCTGTACCTGAGAAAAGAATCAGACGCAAACAGTTTAATTAACAGAATAAGCCAAAAAAAAAAAAAAAATCTCCAAACTCACAGGATGTCAGTCTAGAACAAGCAGCAAGAAACAAAGGAACTCAGGAACGAGGAACACAGGACCAACATGGCATCACACACACACACACACACACACACACAGCACTAACTAAGAGAGAGTGAGGAAGAGGTACAAAAACCCAGGGCACCAGGTGACACGAGTGGGACTGATTAACAAGGAAACACAGGTGAGTGTGATTTCACTAATCAGCCCCAAACAAACAGACAGAAGAGAAGGACGGACCTCACAGTGAAGTGCAGTAAAATACAAGTCTGTTTCAGTACAGTATATTCCAGCAGTTTAAATGTTGGCAAAGTTGGGTTTGGTTCCCTGCAGCACACAGTGGAAATATATGATGAAATATATAAGATTAGTACTCTGAACTGCAGTGTAAAGCAGTGTCATTGAATGTAAAATTGAGTGGTACAGTGGTTGGCTTAGTGGTTAAGGAAGCTGACTTGGGTCTGGAAGTCTTCAGGTTTGAGTCCACCAAGTTACCACTGAGGTGAGCATGGCACCGTCCCCACACACTGCACTCTGGACGCTTAAAGCTGCCCGCTGTTCACGTTGGTGATGGGTTAAATGCAGAGGTCACATTTGGTTGTGTGCAGTGGTGTGCTGTGTCACAATGACATAGTTAACTTTCCTTTCCTGTACATATTTAAAATCAATAACTAGAAAGTCGACGACGGGACTGAGTTGAACCTGTTGTAAATCAACGGCAGAATCACATTTTGTATTTCTTCCTCCACGATAACATTTTCATGCCTTTGTTTATTTTGGTCCTTAACAAAATGACATTATGTTAAATGTGTAACAGCTGGTGCCGTCTCATGTTAGCTCTGCACTTTGTAGCTCTGTTGGCGTCTGGGGAATATTTGTGAGACTGTCATGAGACTTCAGACAGAAACACGGAGAACGGCGATTGACATTTGTCTACTTGATTCTTCTGTGATCGTCCTCTGACAAACATCGTAGATGAAGTCAGTGTTGGTGACGTTGTCACAGACGCCCACACAGCTGTTGGGACCCTCTGGCCGTCTGCCTCTAACTATAGGCCACGCACAGACTATTACATTATCCCCCGGTCATGTACTGAGGCTTTGTTTTCCTGTGTTCACGTTCCTGTGAGTTTCAACCCCTTTGTACTCTGTCAGCAGCTCACACTATATTTTTCCCTGTCTCCTGATTTCTCTGTGATCACCTGTGATACAGTAATGGCGCACAGACCCTCTGATTGGCCTGGACCAACAGCTGAAGTGGTTATTATGAGCCGGCCGATCACAAAGAGACAGAAACAAAGTTCACATTTTGTTCCAAAAAGCTTTCCTTTGATTTTTCCATTTCAAAGTCTGGTATCATACAAATAGGCCGGGCAGAGATTATGTCCCCCTCCACGACACCTCCCACCCCGCCCACCTACCCACCCCACATGCTGCTCTCATCTCCGAGAATAGAGTGTGTCCGTAATAACTTGCACATGGCCCACTTTTGTCTTTGCGGTTTTCATTTGGCTATAAATTCAAGGTAGACACATTTTTCTTTGCCCTTTTTTGGTTGATGTGTCAGACAGGTTTAAATGGATGTAATTTCCCTTTGAAGCAATTGTGTGACTCATTAAACGGTGCCAGTTTGTGTGTACTGTATGTGGTCGGTGGTTCTTTTGAGCAACAACGAGGACCCGGCAAAGTCACCGTGCTCCGGGTCCCCGGCTCGTACATCTGGCACCCATTCGGTTTGAGGAGGCGAGTGCCAACAGCAACGCACGGGGCTACAGACCAAACAACACTCTCAAGTTCAGTGACAGCGAGTGCATGACAAGCAAAATGGAAACCTTTTGGTGAGCCTCAGCATTTGCACTTCATTCATTGTTGTGTTACTATACAGAAAGTTTCCTTCCCTGACGCGAGGCTGGAAGAACCTGCTCCTCATTGAATTATGAACAAAGCACTGTTCCAATGTTCAGCTTCACTCAGGTCCACTGTGGTCGCCGTTAACAGCACGGTTCTTTTTTTTTTTTTAAAGAAACTAAGGATGATTGTTGTCACTAATCCCCTGAGAATGACCTACAAACCTTCTGCTTCCCATTGGTGCAGAACATCTCATTTTGCCTGTTCCACTTCTCAGACAACGTTGTCTGAGAACAACGGCAACACGGTTCTATTTTATATACCAATCTGACTCACGCTTTTTTATTTGACATATTTTTATCAGCATCTATTCTTTCTAAGCCAACAGCTTAGTTATCTAACTGGTCGTTGGCTGCTCTCTCAACACTGCTGTTTTTTTTTTTTTTTTTGAGTGAGAGAAGTGTTTCAGTTTCAGTCTTGGGTTCGAATCCACTCAGCTGTTTTTATGAACATCATTGGAACTGGATTAGGACTCAAGACTTCTTAAACCCAGAATTAGTTGGATATCTATAAAAAAAAAGTAGAGCTGTCAAAAAATAATTAGTAACATTAATCAGGTTGAAATTTTTAGTGCAAATGGAGAGGTAATGCTAACGCTAACTGGATACTAAATGATTCCACCCTCCATCCACTGCTGATACACGTGTTGACATTTATACACATTCCTGGAATGAGTTTTAAATTCAGTGAAGCAGTTTGGGCTTAAAATACCCTGCACACATGCTTTTCCAGGACAGGGGTTTTATGTCGCTTGAAAGCAAATGTCGATGTGTTCAACAAACCTCTGTCAAGATGCACTTGTATTAATGTCAGTAATACAAACCACAAACTCCTGTGTATGAAGCAATATGAGTTGAATTTTGCATATTTTTTCTTGATTTTATCCCATATTATTAAATCCATCATTTTGATGTTTTCTGTTCCCTATTTTTGTCACATTAAGGAACAGTAATCTATCTCAATAAATCATGATTAATTGTTAGCAATCCACAGCCTGTCTGTGATTAATCAGATTATGACTTGTAATTGTTAAAGATCTGTGACTAGTTAAATATACATGATCCACAGGTGAATTCTGTAGGAGTTAAAAGGCATGGGCATAGATACACAGACCAATGGTTAACAAGACACAGGTGTAGAGAATGGGCAATTACCATGGAGGGAAAACACAGGAGGTGGAGTCAGGTGGAATGCAGGGAAACGCAGCCAAAAAGACTGGAAAAAAAAGGTGAGAAAAAAGGCGTAACAAAGAGACTAACGAAGAAAAGAATTGTCAAAACATCTTAAGTTTTGTAGCTGATATAAAATACAAGTTTGATATGATCAACTCTGGTATCATCTGCAAAGACACCCCCCCGCCCCCCCCAAAAAAGCAACCATGTCTCCAGTTGTTCCCCAAAACAATTCAAAACAGTAAAAGTCTTGAATTGTTGTAAATAACATGGAGATATCCACAGTCTTTATCTGGTATCTATTTGTGTGAAGCAAGTTCACATGAGGGAAATATTACCATCTATTTTGTTAACACTGTGTACAAAATACTGCATATTCCACTCAGTGTCAAAATCCCCCGAAACAAATGTATTTTTGCTGTTAGTCCAGATAGTGGTCCACTGTCATATGCTTCATATTTATCCACAATATGTCTTCAATACATCATCCCATTCATCTGTCCTTTCTTTCAGACAGAGAATGATGGAAGGAAATGATCATTTGGGCAAGAAGATCAAGGCGAGGCATCGTTTCGTTCGAGTGCTCAGTATCTCATTTCAGGATGAAGCTGCAACATCTTGAATGTGACTCTCGGTGAATGGAAAACTCTGCGGCAGTGGTCCACGTCTGACCTCTGGGATGTGCTAATTCTGCGGCTTTGCAGAGATTTAACAGTTGTCATGAAAATATTAAATTTGGACCGCTGCATCTGGCAGTGACACAGTGATGCCACTACATCACAATGCTGCCGAGGAGCGGTGACTCATTCGTGATGAACATCTGCATCGTAAAATAAAAGTGTGGCCTCGTCCGTGTCGCTGCAGTCGTACCGTGAGTGTCAGTTATTCAAGCGCTGAATTCTTCGGTGCTGTAGAACGTACAGCTGCTTCTGATGCAGAAATGGGCAGGGGAGTGGAGATCTGTCATGGCTTTTCATAAGGAGAGATTAGCGAGTAACAGATGTACATATATATGTGTATATATATATACTATATATGTATATATATACTATATATGTATATATACACATATGTGTTTTTGTTTTCACTAGCTTTAGTTAATATTTACATGATGTCACCCAACAGTAAGCTTTAAGCCATAGGGATGTTTATTTATTCAACGCTTATAAATTTAAAGAAAAACATCTCAGTAGTTTCGAGCTATGACTTCTCTGTATCTGTATATTAATAATACTGAGCATCAAGTGCTTTTATCAATTAAAAACAATGGGTTTTAATGTGGCTGTGTAAAAAAGACAACACTTGAGATAACAGTAATTATATATTATGTTAATACTCTTTATAATGTTTGGGGACGTTAGATGTTAGAGAACGGTAGAGAACATTAAGTCTGAGTGCTTTTGGGATTAATACTATAAGTATTGCTCCAAAAAAACGAAACAATTGTGAATATTCTTCAGATTTGGTTTCATTAAGGGAATGAATCCCCATTTCCCTTGATGTAAAAGGATAAAGATGGATTTCTCCGAGGAAATTAATGAGGCTTATAGCATTAAAAAGGCCCCTGGTGAAATTTTTCAAATCAATTCTGGCTACAAAAAAAAGTTAACTGAGATTGAGTGCATCTGCAGGAGTCAATAAGATCACTTAAACACTGCTTGTTCGAAGAGAACTGAGCTGCCGCAGACGTGAACTTAATCTCAAGTAGTTCCTTCTTGCGTCAAAGTGTGTCCCGTAATGTGGTAAACACAATTAAAAAAATCTCTGCAAGCCAAATGATAATCAATAGCTTTCTCTCTCCTGTTTAATCAGACGCTGATATTTTTAATTAGCTTATTTGTTCGTTGTTCAGAAACATGGCTTATCTGGAATATTTATTTGTTCCAGAGGTTTCTTTGGCTTTGGTTAAAGCCAGCGTGTTGCAACTGTTAACATTTCTTTTTATTAATTTGCTAATGACAGTCTCAATCCAGATCTTTAATTATGAACTGAGCTCCAAACTCTCAGCTCTCCTCAGCACACTGGTATGAAGAACAATTGTTTTA